GGATGCAACTCCAGTGTCCATCAACAGATGAGTGGATAAACAAAATGCGGCATATTCTTAAATGGAATATTAGACCTAGGAAGGAAGGAAATCCTAACCTGTGCTAACACATGGATGAACCTTGAAGACATTATGCTGAGTGAAATAAGACAGTTATGGAAAGACAAATACTGTATGATTCCACTTATGTGAGCTACCTAGAGTAGTCAAATTCATTTGAGACAGAAAGCAGAGTGCTGGTTGCCAGGGGCTGGGGGTGGAGGAAGTGGGGGTTGTTTAATGGGTAGAGTTTCAGTTTTGCAGGATGGAAAGAGTGCTGGAGTTTGGAGATGGTGGTGGTGATATTTGCACAAGAGTGTGAAGTACTTAACTGAACTGTACACTTAAAGATGGTTAGGATGGTTAAGTTTTATTGTTATGTGTATTTTACCCCAGTGGAACATTTTTACGAAGTCTCTGGAGCCCACTCAGTCCCTCGATTGCATCCCCATCAGCATCTGTCTCCCCGCCCTCAACAGCGCTGGTGTTCCTGGTATCCCGAGATGGACTGTCTAGTCAAGCCCCTTGCTTTGTGAAGAAGACAAACTAGTTGGCGTGGATGAGACCTTAAAAGCTCTCCAGCGAAGAAAGTCCCAGATGTTGAGCCTGGCAACTCTTAACAATTCTGTGTGTCAGATTTCTTGCCTTTTACATCTTACTTAAATCCTTTTGTTTTAAACTAATTTCCTCTTTTGCCTTATGGAGACACAAACAGCTGGTGACCATCCTCCATGAAAAGAGACTTTCAAAGACTTAGACGCCATTGTTAAATTACCTTGTTTCTCTGACGATGCAGAGCCACCTGCTTTCAACATCTCCCAGCCTACAGCTGCAGTTGCATTCTCGTTGTGGGACTGAGCTTTGGGCCCTCAGCTGTGCTTTTGTCTGTGTGTTCGGGGGGGACCCCGAATCATTTCTTAAGGAGAGCTTTGGCCCAGCGCATGGCATTCCCATGGCAGGCCTCTAAAGGAGGCAAGTAGCCTTCCACTGAGGCCTGTGCCCTTATCAGGTTCCTGGGAGCTCACTAAGAAGATGTCAGCACACGACTCAGATTGGCTGAGGTGCAGGACCTATGACTCTGCTTGACCAGCTACATGGTACAGGTGTACTACAGGCACTTGGCAGGGAATAAGAAAGCCAAGCTCACTGTTAACTATGTACCAAAAGCCTGCCTAAGAGAAAACAAATCTGGGGAGATTATCTGAAGATGTATCCCTCCCTCTGGGATTAAGCCAAGTCCTTAGGAGTGGTGGGGACCACTTTGTTTTGCCCACCGTTCCTCTGTGCAGTGGTTTTGCTGCGCTACACTTGGCCAGGCACCGTGGCCCACTCTGCAGGCACCATATAAGAAAGAGGTTTGTGAGGCCTTGGTGCAGTTATTCTAGAGGTACTGCTGAAGGTGGGCTGTTGACTCCACTGTGGACACGGGAAAGTGGGGGGCACTTCTCCCAGGACTCAGAACCAGGAGTACTTGTGCATCTTAAACATGGTGTACTTTTACCTCATGGACCCTAAATCCTATCATTGATGATTGTACACTTTGTTTCTGCTGCTAGAGAACTTCAAGTCAAATATGGGGACTATTGATGGAAGAATGTTGTCCAACAGAACTTTCTGTAATGATGGAAATTTTCTACATCTGTGCTACCCATTATGGTAGCCACTAGCCATGTGTGGTTTAGGACTGAGAAAATGTCTTTTGTATTAAGACAGAGAAATGGATTTAGTAAGACAGAGAAACTGAATTTTGCATTTTAATTAATTCAAATTTTAAATTTAAATGGCCACTTCTTGTCAGCTATCTTAAATCTTTTTTAAAATGTGAGCTCTACTTATAAGTACAAAAAAAAGATAACATACACACATTCCCCATTTGACTAGGTACTTCTTCCCCCTTTTGTGCAAAATAGAGTAATTAATATGTTCATTTAAGGGAAGGGCGTCATTTACAGGAAGAGCATCCCCAACAGGAGTTGGGGAGAGGCCTTCTCTTCTGTTTCTTTGTTCCGTTTCTTCAGCTGGGTGCTGCTTACACAAATGTTCAATTTGTATAAATTCATTGAGCTGTGTGTTTATGATATATGCACTTTTCCATATATTATTTATACTATTCTTCAATAAAAAGTAAAGGGAAACATCGGGCGCCTGGGTGGCTCAGTCGTTGAGCATCTGCCTTAGGCTCAGGTCATGATCCCAGGGTCCTGGGATCGAGCCCCGCATCGGGCTCCCTGCTCAGCGGGAAGCCTGCTTCTCCCTCTCCCACTCCCCCTGCTTGTGTTCCTGCTCTGTCTCTCTCTGTCAAATAAATAAATAAAATCTTAAAAAAAAAAAGTAAAGGGAAACATATAAAGAGAACCTGTTGGGTCCAAGGCACAATGTTAGTTTAGCTTTACAGGATATGGAAAGATTCACAGAACATGGACCATGACTCCAAAAAGCTGCACTTTAGCATCATCGAGCATTAATGCAAATTTCTAGGATGCATTTTTCCAGAGGGATCTTGGGCAACTTCTGATGCTAGCAACTCCCCACCCTCCTCTTCCTTGCTTCCCCCCCCCCCCCGATCAGGCAGTGCCAAGAAAGAGTTTTAGGAGGAGGAAGTCTTTCTTTCCATCTTAACAGATCTTAGGTCAAAAACATTCCAAATTCTTATAAAAGGCTGCGTAGCCCCCAGAAAAAACCTTTCATCTTTTGTCTTCCAGAGGAATTAAATCAGAGGAGGAGGTCTCTGGAATATGGAATGTTCATGGGGCAGGATGAGGAAATAAAATTCTATCTATATTTTAAGCAAGCAACTAAAAACTACTAAGATGCGTTCCAGCGTATAACTCCACCCAACTGAACAAAAACATTTATATTAAAAATTATAATTGAAAATATAACTCAGGAAACATATACTGCTAAGGACGATGTGGTTAAAAGGCATTCTCTCAGTGGGGTCCCTCTCCATGACTTAAATATCTTAATTTTGCTAAAGACTGAGACATAAATTTTTATACTTAGAAGTAAGTTAAAGAGCCAAGCAGGTGCATATTTCATGCTAGAGCAGAAGGTTGCTCTCTGCAGTAATTCAGTCCCAGTAACCTATACAAATGGGTCATCATCAAGAATTATGAGGGGGCTATTAGTCATTTCTGTCCACATTAATTTACCTCCTCGACATATTACTATATTGAACAAAGACCTGCATTCTTGAGACCCAAGATACAAATCTTTTTTCCTACTCTTTTCACACTTTAATGCTCGAACTTCAAAAGCCTCCACCTGTACAGATTTTATAACCATTTAAATGTGTGATTCTTCTTCGAAATATTCTTTCAATGGTTCCTTTGAGCATGGTCCAGGCCAAGTTTTTATACTTTGTTCTTTCACTTACGTTATTACAGGCATCGAGCGAAAAAGTATTCTAATTACTGCCAAAAAAGGAAGAAGTCCCTTCAAAACAATCACATTTATTTATTTTGGTCTTTTAGTATAAACAAAATCCTTCCATTTACTTTTACTTATTTAACTGCATGATATTTTGCATACGGCATTGTGAGTCTTCAAACACAGAAAAATTTTGTTCTCACATTTCAAAAAAGACTATAGAGCAAATGCAAGCTAGCATTCGGTTCACTGAATAAAGTGATATTTAGTTTCTTATCTGTATAGTCAAAGGAAAATCAAAAAATTATCTGTGTCCTATAAACAGTAAATGTCTCAGAGGTGACCTTTCTGACTTGAGCAAAGTGGCCCGGCTGTAGTTTTAACCAGTTTTTTGACATGTGCCAAGTTCTCACTTCATTTTGTGATATGTGGATTACAGTTCTGATGTTTGATGTCAAAATCAAGTAAAACTATGAAGCTGTGGTTTGAGTGATTTGAGTAACTACTTGTGATTTCAGTAACTACGATCAGCACCTTTCAAGATAATGGCCCTTAATGCACTATCAACCTTCTCCTTCCAGGTAGCTAAATGGGAAAACAGAGATGCCTGAGCCAGACGTTTAAAACAAAACAAAACAAAACAAAAACCGAAGTCCTATATGCTTGGACTTGTTTTACATGCTAATTCCAGAAAGCCTGGGTTTAGAAAGCATTTATCAGGTCGGACCAGGCGTGGGACATTCTTAAGTCTATGTGCTGAATTTTGAATTCTCGATAATTAATTAATAATGAATGATCCTGAAAGAGTGTCAGGCAACCACTGGAAGGATGGGAGGAGAAAAGGGGTCCAGGAACTGAATGAAGGATTAACTACAGAGGAACAGGGCAGTTTACTACACCCGTTCCCTTAAAATGTACTCATTCACCTCTTCCCAAGCTTACTGAAACCAAAAACTCCAAAGGCATCGCTTACTTCTTAGAATATTTATGAGAAAGTAATTTCTTAAGTGATCACTGGATTTTAACAACCTACTTACTGCCTAGCAGAAGGGTGGATGGATGGATGGTGGGGAGGCACGGGAGGAAAGAACTCAATATATTCTACAGTTTTCTGAGAGCTGGGTTTTCCTGAAGGTTCTTTGTGGAAGTGAAGAATACACTGGTAAAAACTCCCTACGTGTGAGGGAGTAGATTCAGGAATCTTAAATAGCGAGGTCCCTCGGATATAAGCTCATCTGCAATCCCCAGGGACCACAAGCATTCAGTGGCGGCTCAAACAGCAGGTGAAGAGGCGCCACGGAGGACCTGGCAGTTGCTTGCTGAGGCACACAGCCAAGGCAGCCAAGTGAAAACAACCAACGCAAAGAGCCCTTGATGCCTCTTCTGTTTAGGCAGCATCCGGACACCTTGACTTTGTCTAAGAGCCAGACAGGGGGCCACGGATCCCTCCTTTTTCTTAACTCATTGCTCTTTACCTGGTACTGGGGTAACTGGGGTTTCTGGCAGAGCCAACCCACTTGTTTCTCTGTTCCCCAACCCCCCAACAGACAGGGAGGTAGACACAGACAGAAAGACAGACTTCCCCCAGGTACCTGCAGGAGGATCTTGTTCCCGTCGAGGTCCTCTGTCTGCCAGCGGCCCTCACTGATGGGGCTGCAGGGGTTGGGCAAGAGAGGCACGAGCTCACCGATGTCCTTGACCCGGAACTCCAGCACCGAGGAGTCGGTGGGGACGGGGGTCTGGTCACAGGGTAGCCTTTTCAGGGAGAACTGGATGTCCACATCCAGATTGGAGAAAATGGGGAAGATGCAGAAGTCCGTCTTCCTCTGGCTGGGGCTGCGCCGGAGGATCAGCTCGTAGAACTTGAGGATGTCGGCGTAGTTGTCATGGCGACAGTAGATGGTGAAGCGCACGATTTCCTTGCCGTAGTGCACGGGCCGAATGGCCCACAGCGCGGTCCCGGGGGCCAGCGTGAAGAAGTCCTGGCTGCAGGGCAGGTAGGGCAGGAACCTGCCGGGCACGCGCTCCGTGTGGTGGTGGCGCCAGGGCGGCCGCTGCAGCGTGCGGTGCAGCTGCAGGATCTGCTCCTCGCCATACTCCTCCTGAAGGAAGAGAACCACGGCCAGCGCCGGCTGCGCCACCTTCCAGGGCTTCCGCCGCCGCCGGGACGCCCGCCTTTCTGAGACCCGGAAGAGCTGCAGGTCTGGGTGGATCCAAGCCAAGACCTTGTCGATGGCCTCCTGCAGGGGTTGGGATTCCCCCGGGTCTGCAATAATGTGGATGCTAACCAGGAAAGGGTCCTGCGCCTCCTCCACCGAGAGCTCACCTAGAGGCACAAGAAGAAAAACAAACGATGACTATGTCATTAAAAGTATCCTGTGATGACAAGCAAGGCAGTGACAGGAAGAGAAGCTAAGGGCTCACTGAACTGACTCCGCGATCATTAGGATTTTCGGATCCCAAGTTTGCCCACAAAAACCCTGGCAGCCCAAACACGAGAGAAGTATTATTGCTAGGAATAGCCCCCAAAGTGGGCAGGGCTAGGAGAACCGCCCCCCGTACTGCACCAGGTTGAGTGTACTTCCAGTCAAATCTCCACTGATCTGGAAGGGATAACACGGCCATTAGAAAAGATGCTGTCGCGTTCAGGGTATACCATTTAATATTTCCCAAAGCAACTGCAGTGCCTTACCCCCCAAATGGTCCCTCTACCACTGCACTCCTCGGATTTGCTTTTTGCATTGGTTTTTCTTGTTCGTTCACTTCACAAACATTTATGGAATCCTTTCTTCATGCCTCATGCTAGGTGCTGTGCTGACAGATAAAGCCCTGGCTGGAGAGGCATACGGCCAACAGTGGACTGATGCTGGGGTGGTCTGGTTGTGACCATCTAGCTGCTGGAAAGAACGATACGGAGGAACACAGGGGTGAGGCAGGGTAGGAGGCACAGTGTTCTTGCTGAGGCCACTTACTGGGGCTGTGGTTTGGGCTGGGGGAGCATGGTGGGACCATTGCTGTCTGTGGAATGCTGTCTTTGGGCTTCTTCTCAGGCCACGTCCACCCAGAAGCCCACACATCTTGAATGGTTTGTTTACCCTCCCGATGTCTCTGGCAGAAAGAACATCTGGAAGCACTGAATTCCAAGGGTGAAGTTGGCCATTTAACTTGGCAACACTATCCTGCAGGGTGAATAGTTTGCTGGCCACACTGGCATATTTCTAATTCAGAAATATTCAGCATATTTTCTCAGATAACATGATCAGAGGCTTGTTCTTTTAAAAGGTGACTCTATTTGCATCTTTACAGGCTTTACGACTCATCCAAGGGAAATCAAGAAATCTTTAGGTCTATTGTGACTTGGGGGGCTAGATTCAGCTAGAATGTAGATCTGTCATCACACACATGCCTCACAATGTCCACTAGGGTATTAGGTAGAAGTCAATCATGCAGTCAATAATGTTTGAGAAGTGTGATGTGCTTTTTAGGAACAATAACCTCAATCAATTTACAGGATAATTTTTTTTCTAGCTTTGCAAGACATGCCAAATGGGCTTGCAGGTATATTTCATCATATTCATCTGTGATAATATAGTTTCAATTTTGTTGGATCAAAACCTGTCTGAATTTTCATCTCAACTTTGTTAAATTATTTCACTTGGGAATAGTTAATTCAGTTTGTTGTTGCCTTTCTTATTTACTCATTTATTTACACATTTGTTGAGCAATCAATATGTATCAGGCACTGGAGAGACAAGGAAGCTGGTATCATCGAGTCTTATGGGAGTCTGTTTACATAGCCTCCAGTGTGAATAGTGCTGCTCCCTTAGAGTTGTGCAGTGTACAACCTGCACACCCACAGCAGTAGCCCTCTGAAGAACCATAAGCCACAAATAACTTCATAAACACAGTCACAAAAAATTAAAATTCAATCTGATATGTGCCTCTAGGAAATACAGTAGAGTAGCATTTTAGGCAGGGGTGAGATTCTAAAGTCACCCTGAAGTAAAAATTACCCAGAGACAATATTACCCCTGGTTTGGTCGAGCAGACCCTCATGACTGAGTGGCAGAACACCCAGGTGAGTCCCTTGAATTTCCAATATAGCACTGAAGGTCCTACTTGCAGCAAGACGATGCAGCCAGATAGGTGTTCCTCTGGCTGAATGGCTTGTGTTATAAAAGAATAGTCTTGCATCAGTAAGCACTAGACCCCACTCAGCAGGCTGTGCCTTTCACCCTACAAGAGGCTTCTGAAACATAAGGATGACCAAGGTAAAAGCAAAGTCAAGTCTTAGTACTTCCATGATCATGGACTAGAATGGTAGGGCATTGTTCAACCCCCGCCCCCTCTGGCTGAGCATGTAGTCTTGAATTTGTATGAGTTAAATATGAGCATGATGTAATTCCAATTTACTACCACGGGACAAAGGAAGGAGCAACGTTTCCTCCAGAGTGCTTCTGGGGAGGTTTTCTGGAGGAGGCACCACGTGAACTGGGCCTTGAAGGGTAAACATCTCACTCATAATAACCTCAAACATGGGGGAGATCACTGCAGGAAGAGGGAAGATGGTTTATGAAGGCACAGAACTGTACAAAAAAACAAGCACATTTGGAAGGGGGTGGTGAGTAATTCTGAAACATGGCAACAGATGCAGCAGGAAAAATGGACTAGCACCAAGTTATAGAGGGCTTCAGCTCAATTTGGTAGTGATAAGGGGCAGTGGAAAGTTTTAATAAAGGGACGCGGGGCAGTAGTCGGGGGAGCAAAGTAAGAAGTCAGAAGATGAGTAAACAGTCTAGACAAAAAATCACCAGACTTGGCAGTAGAGGAGATTGCATTATTGGCCCTCATTCTTTATCTTGCCCTGTCTCCTTGCTCTCTGCCCTGGGACTTTATAGTTCCTCCCACTATTGGGTGAAGTGCATTTCCCCACCCTTTGACTTCGGACACCATCGACCATATGCCTAACTGTGGCCAACAGAAAGACACAGTGGTGACGTGTGTTTGGGCCTGCCTTCTTGTGCTTCTGACATGTCCATGAGAAGCTAGCCCATTGGTGCCAGAAAGCAGGAAGAGATATACATGGATCACAGCTGCCCAAGCTGAGCCCAGTCTGTATTAGCCAACCTCAGACACCCACAGAAACATGGTAAGAGCCACCTCGCTGTGCCTGCTCTAGAGCAGCTGACCCAAGATATATGAGAAACAAGAAATGACTGTTGTTTAAGCCACTGTTTGGGGGTGGTTGTTATACAGCAATACTTACAGGTATAGGAGGAGTCAGTGGGTGTTCAGAAAAGGCACAGATTCCCAGGCTAATTAGGAAGCACAGGTGACTTGGCTTGGAGCCCACAGGCCTGGGGTGGGGAGCAGGAAAAGCAGGAGAGGAGTGTACCTTGATGTTTCTGGTTGGATCCTGACACGTAAGTAAGAGATATGGAATAGAGGAAGCAGGGCAGATTTGTGGGTAAAGATAAGGAGTTCCACTTTGGCCATGTTGGCGTGAGATGCCGGAATGACTTCCAGGAGGGATGTCCTGTTAGCAGTGGGACCTGTGCACTGCTGAGCTTGTGGGCTGAATTTTAAGGATGGATCAGTTACCTTTAGACTGTATTCTTGCTTTTATGTGGTTATCTAATACATGTGTGCCCCCCATATAAATCTGAATCAGTGAAAATTCACCGTGATGCTTTAAAAAACAATCAGAATTCCTGGACTCTTGTGGTCCTTCTCTTTGTTTCCTCTTCTGCTCACCTGACTACTTCCTGTTTCATTGAACATTATCAGCAGAAGGTGCGGTTGAAACAAAAATAGTGGTAAGGCAAAACAATGCCATTTTCCACCAGTCAGTAACTCCAGGAAAGGTAGGAGAAAGTACCACAATCAAATAAAATGCATATTTCGCTTTTTCATGGTGGCCTGATCTCCCAACAGTGGGGACATGTGACTTTGCTAAACATTAATGAAAGCTCAGTTCAAATGGAAAGAGGTAGAAAGGCTTTGAAGGATTTGGGGGATGAAGAAATTTACTTGAGAAAATTATAGATGATTTCTGTGAGAGGAAAAAAGGACATACGGAGTCAAAAGAATGTTTGGGAAAAGACACTGTCAGAGCAGTGAGGCAGCCCTGTTAAGACCATGCGCCCGTTCTCAGGGTGTGCGCGTGGCCACGTACATGGAGAGACGTTAGCTTAACACATGCATGATGTTCACTGTGGTCCCCACTTTCTCCACGTTCTACATATATGAACTCATTGAATCCTTAGAACAACCCGGGGGGGGGGTGCTATTATTGTTCCCATTTTAGAGAGCAGAAAATCGAGGCACAGAGAGGCGAAGTAATCTGCCAAGGTCACACGGCATCTGAGGTCTGTGTGCACAATCACAAGGGTTCTGTAGAGAAGTGTGCTTACCCTTTCATCTGTATTTATTTCATAGCAGAATGAGCAGCCGCCCCTCCCCATCGTTTCTGGCCACACTGCTACTGCCTCACCCCTCTCTGCTGCACTCCTGCCTCCTCCTGTCTGGCTGGCTTCTCAGCCGCCAGCCAATAGCTCCCTGTCTTGGACATCCATTTACATCTCTTTTGTCTGGCCCTGGGTGTCTGAGGAAGCATAACCCAGAAACCGCCTCCCCAAAGGCACACGCCCAGGTCTTTCTATGAGAACCGCCCTCTCAGGCTCGCAGACAAGCGTGAGAAGCCTGCATGTGGAGAGGCCCCGGGTGAGGTAGCTTCCAAGTCTCCAAGACAGAGTTGTCGGGGTGCTCGGTGTCAGGAAACCTCTATCAGCCACACAAAGGTTTCCCAGAGAGCAGTAACAAAGGCCATGCTGAAGCCTGCGCGGATCAGTGAATGTTGACAGCTTTGCAGAAAGGCAAGATGCCCAGCCTCGGGGCAGGGTGGGGCATGGAGAAAGGCGTCTGACCAAGCACCAGCTCGCCTGGGCAGCTTGGGATGCAGCCAAGAGCAAGCAAGGAAGGAAGGAAGATGAAGACCCGACCCCCGAGCTCCGTCTGCACTGCGTGAACCAGGGCGATCAAAGTGGCTAAAACCCTACCCTGAGAAGAATAAAGAGAATGAGTGGTGGCATTAACATGCTCCAGCCATCACCAGCATGTGCCCACTGCACGAGGCCCTAAAATAAACAGGCTCAAAGAGCCCCAGCGTGCAGCTCCAAACCGTCACTAGGTGCTAGGGTTATATACACCCCAAAGAAAACGTGCCTCCTGGAGCCAGATAGGAAAGCAAGTATTTGAGGGGAAGGAGAGAAAATGTGAATAATTAATTGTCATGGAAAGCCTACCGCTTCCCTGGAGAAGCAGAGA